AACAAAAAAAGAGAAAGAGGCATTAAAACATCTTAAAGAAAACGCTAATTTAGTGATCAAAGAAACGGACAAGTGGGGGGAACTGTTATTATGAGCAAACAATATTGCATGTAAGAGGTATACAAAATTTTAGGGGATAAAAATACCTACCAGATTCTCAACCAAGATCCCACTAAAATATTTCTCTAGCAGCTTAGAGATTTCATCCAGAAGGGTATGGATCAAACTATCATCTCTAAAAATGAATTTCAATTTATTTTTAACCCTACCAGCAAAACGGCCATTTTTTATTTTCTCCCAAAAATCCATAAAGATTTATATTCTCCCCCAGGCCATCCCATTATTAGGGGGATTGATTCACTATCATGTAATCTTTCAGAATACGTAGACTCGTTTTTAAGATCGCATGTCCCCCTTTGTCCTTCCTATATTGGAGATACCAAGCATATTCTACAAAATGTACAGACTTTTGCATGGAACCATTCTTTTTGTTAGCAACTGTAGATGTTACCTCTCCTTACTGCAATATACCCTACACTAAAGGATTGGTGGTATTTAGGAATGATTTAACCCCAAAAAATTATTTATGTGTAGATCAGATTGATTTTTTTGTTTTGTGCATCGAATTTGTTCTAATCAGGAACTGTTTTTGGTTTGATTCTTTCTTTTTTTCTACAGATTTGTGGTGTTACCATGGGAACCAGGTTCGCCCCAAGCTTTGCCAATCTATATGTTGCCCATTGGGAATCCCTGCACATTGGGTTGGGACTCTGTCTTGGACCCTTCCTTCTCCTTGCAGACCCTTCCTGCTCTTTGCTGCCCCTGCCTGCTCCTTGCAGACCCTTCCTGCTAATTTCTGCTCCTTTTCCTACTTTACCTTTGTGCTCCTTCTGCCCCTTCCAGCTCATTGCTGACCCTTCCTGCTCATTTATTTTCCTTTCCCTACTTCACCTTTGTGCTCCTTCTGTCCCTTTCTGCTCATTTCTGTTCCTTCTCATTTTTGCTCCTTCTCTTACTTTACCTTCCTGCTCCTTGCTGACCCTTCCTGTAGGCTTCCTCCCCCAATCCCTCAATTCACTGATCTATAGGCTGCCCCCCATCCCTCACTTCCCTGGTCTGTAGGCTGCCCCATCCATTACTTCCCTGATCTATAGGCTGACCCCCATCCCTCACTTCCCTGATCTATAGGCTTCCCCCATCCCTTACTTCCCTGATCTATAGGCTGACACCCATCCCTCACTTCCCTGATCTCTATGCCTCACTTATCTGATCTCTAGGCTGCCCCCCCTATGCCTCACTTCCCTGATCTATAGGCTGCCCCCCACTGGGTAAAATCACTTCCCTGATCTAAAGGCTGCCCCCCCATGTCTCACTTCCCTGATCTATAGGCTCTTCCCCCCATGCCTCACTTACCTGATCTGTAGGCTGTCTCTGCATACTGGGAGTTGCTGGCTACATGTGCTGCTCCTCTGCGGATTCAGTCAGGAGAGAGAAGCAGGGATAAGCTGTAGCTTCCTATCCCTGTCTCTCTCCATACACAGCACTACCTACTGTCCGACACCAGTATTGCACTGTATTTTCAATCTCACACAAAAAAATAGCAGAACAAGCTGAAAAATCCGGGAGGAGGTGGGGGGGGGGGCAAGTGCCCCCCCTTGTCCCACCCGGCAGACACCCATGGTTACACATGTGGTGGATTTCTGTTTTTCTTTTTGGTCTCAGTAATTATGATCTAGTTATTAATAAAGGTAGATTTTTTTCTCTTTTAGATTGTATAATCTGAGCTCTCTTTCCCACTACCCGCCCACTGATCTCAGCGGATGAGTAGTTAGGATTCTGTCTTTCTTTTCTATAAAAGATACAAAAGCACAAGACGTATAGTGAGACTCCTAGTTGTCAACAACACCCCGGTTAACTCCAAAAAAACATGATAAACACAAAATGCAAAAGAAATGGTGTGGTGTGCTACAATTACATGTGTGAGGATCACCAATGAGATAATATACATACACTGGTTATCGGTCTCCCAAAATATACCAGTGGTACTCCAGTTAGGAAATTATATTCCTGTTTTTAATCACTTAAAAACATAAACATAAAACAAAACACAGTGTAAAACTGTTAAATACAGTGATAAAAGATAAGGTGATTAATGCACTCACAAGTGGTCCGCCACTAACAGTGGCCAGAAAGGCACGTCAGTAGGTCAAGACCTGCCACAATGGCACTCCAAGATGTTATGAGTCAACTCCTGAATGCACCAAGGTTCTGGATCCCAAGGGGTAATAAAAGAGTGAGTTATGGATAAGGATTTCCCAAATAGAGAGTTATGGAGGCTCTGTATGCGCCTGACCGGTTTCGTCCTCAGGACTTTTTCAAGGAAGAGCTTAGATGTAGTCCACACCATTCAGACTTTTGAACCCCACCAATTTGTGTGCACATATATAATACAGTGACTAACCATTGTACTCACTGGTTATCTGTCTCCAAAAAGACACTGGTAGTGTATTTCCTAACTGGAGTACTACCAGTATATTTTGGGAGACCGATAACCAGTGTATGTATATTATCTCATTGGTGATCCTCACACATGTAATTGTAGCACACCACACCATTTCTTTTGCATTTTTCTCTTCTATAATTTGAAATTTACCTCCACTATTCATCAAGAGAAGATAGATTTTTTTTAGACTTAACTCTGTATGTCGAAGGAGGGTTTTTAAAACCCAAACTTAAAAAAAACAAAAAAAACAGATTGCAATACAACAATAAATAATACTAGCCTCCACCATCCCCTATGGTTGTGCAATATTCCCAAGGGACAAATACAATGAGGTGAAATTGTTCAGATTTTAAGATTTTTGAGGAACAATCCCAGGTTATTAGAAAAAGATACCAGGAGAAGGGATATAATACGAAGGAGCAGGAAGAATAAAGATCAAATGTAGAGACCGGTCTGAATTTCTGACAGATAACCCCAAAAAGACCGCCAGAAATAATTTTGATTATGCTTTCATAACAAAGTACAATATACATGCCAAGAGGATTGAAAAAATCCTAAAAAAAAACATTGGTTTATTAAAAAAGATGAGATTCTGGGTAAAATCATCCCAGATAAACCTATGGTTATATACAGGACAGCAGATAATTTGAAAAAAACAACTTGCCCCAAGCCTTCTATCTAGTAATAAAAAAAAGAAGGAACATATTTTAAAAACCTTACAATCACCTGGATTTCATATATGTGAGACATGTTCAACCTGTGTGCATCAGGAAAAAAAGACTACTTGTTTTATAGGTACTTACACTAAAAATCAATACCAAATTAAAACATGTCTATATTGCTCAGCTACATATGTCATTTATTTACTTCAATGTGGTTGTGGGGCCCAGGATGTAGGCAGGACCACCCGAAAACTACACATTAAATTCTGGTAACATTTTAATAATATAAGAAACAAAAAAAACAGACCACAGTGTTTCCAGACACTGTAGTACTTGTGTACAGTTCAGTTGGTCCACTTTCATTGCCATAGGTATAGAAAAAGTAGACGGCAATTGGAGATGAGTAGAGTTGAGCGGACACCTGGATGTTCGGGTCCAGCGGGTTCAGCTGAACTTTGAAAAAAAGTCCGGGTTCAGGATTGAACTTGACCCTGAACTTGACCCCGAACCTCATTGAAGTCAATGGGGACCTGAACCTTTAGGCACAAAAATGCCTCTTTAAAAAATCCTGGAAAGGGCTAGAGGGCTGCAAAAAGTAGTAAAATGGGGATAAGGGTAGGACAAGTGCCCTGCAAACAAATGTGGATAGGGAAATCACTTAAAATAACATAAAATACCTAAAAATTTAAAATAAAAAAAATTATGGAGCCATAAAATAGCACTAGATGGAATCTTTGATTTTAGCTTTGGAAGAACATAAATCAAAATCTAAAGCATGGCGTCAGGAGGATCACCAGAATTATCCATTTGAGAGAGGGTTGGAATGCAGGGTATTCTCTTTCATTGTTCAAACTGAGCTCAACTCCTGAGGCATGCCTCTGCTATTGTGTACATAGTTTATACTAAGTGACCCATAGCTTGAGGAGGCGATGACTGTGGTGGTGTAGGTGGAAGCGGCAGTGGAGGAGGAGGAGGTAGCCAACACTGTTTTTTATTTGTTTGGTTTTTTTTGTTTTGTTTGTTTTGTTTTTTTATTGGGGTAGCACCCAAAATATTGGGACATAAAAAAAAAGAAAACTCTGTTCCGCAGAGCGACTGACCCGTGCGTGCTGCAGCTGAAACTCCACTATTGCCTGCTGCTGCTCGCATAGTCTCATGAGGCGGTGAGCGGGGAGGCCGAAGTTACGCTGCAGCGCAGACAGGCAAGCAGCAGCAGGGTGAGAACGCCAAAAGCGCGCACAGACGGCCCGCACGTTCTGCAGTAGCTCTGATATATCTGGGTAGTTTTTCAGGATTTCTGCACCATCAAATTCAGCACATGCAAGGGATGTGCATAAAACCGGATAGGCCCAGAGCTGCTAAGAGATTTCGCACATTATCGCACACCACCAGGCTGGGAAAGTTTAGGGAGACCCGGAAAGGGGAGAAGGACTCCCATGTGGAGAGGGCATGCGACATCGCAAGGGCCACCCAGAACTGGCTCAAATCCCATCAAGCCAAGTTCCAGGAGGAGATCACCCAGCTCGTAATGCTAGAGCACTTTTTCAATGAGTTCCCCAATGACACGGCTGGTGAGAGACCGCCAGCCCCCAACCCAAGAAGTATTGGTAAGAGCTGCTGAAGCTAGCTCACGATATCCCCTTGGCAGGGCATTTGGGCAGGAGCCAGACAGCATCTCGGCTTACCCACAGCTTCTTCTGGCCAGGCATCTCTCAGGATCTGAGGCAGTACTGCCAGATGTCTGCCAGAGAGTGGAGAAGAGAAGGGACCGGCACAGGGCCCCCTTCCATCCCCTACCTATTAGTGAAGATCCGTTCGGCAGAGTACCTGTCAACATTATAGTTGCACAGGCACTTTGGTGACTCTAGAGAACCTCGGGCCATTGCATTCGAATGTCTGCCCTATTAACTTTTGATGCCACTTTCTGTGCTTACCATGAGTAACAGGGAATCAGGGTTCGATTCCGGAGAGGGAACCTGAGAAACAGCTACCAAATCCATGGAAGGCAGCAGGCGCACAAATTACCCACTCCCAACGCGGGGAGGTAGTGACGATAAATAACAATACAGGACTCTTTAGAGGCTGGGTAATTGTAATGAGTCCACTTGAAATCCTTTAACTATGATCAATTAGAGGTCAAGTCTGGAGCAGAGCGACTGACCCGTGGGTGCTTCAGCTGAAACTACACTATCGCCTGCTGCTGCTTGCACAGTCTCTCCAGCATGTGCAAGGTGGAGTTCCACCTTGTGGGCACGTCGCATATGAGGCAGTGAGCGGGAAGGCCAAACTTACACTGCAGCGCAGACAGGCGAGCAGCAGCAGGGTGAGAACGCTGAACGCGCACACAGCCGCTACAGTGAATGTCACATCCTGTTCCAAGTTGCAGATCAGTCTGGTGATGGCTTCTGGTATCCAGTACTCTTTTTACTGAAGCTGCATCAGGGTCCTGGTATATGGCCGCACAAAAGCTGGTGCTCAACACCAGGGGGCGTGCGGTTACACTGCACCAGACACTGCTAATCCAATCCACACTGTGACTCCTAACTTCAACATCAGGCATACTGGGTCCCAGTCGTCTGACCCAGTGTCTGGGTCCCGGTCACCGGACTGCTGCCCTCAATGTGAAACTTCGAATGGCTCGTTAAATCTGATACGAACCTGAACTTTGCAGTTCGGGTTCGCTCAACTCTATTATGGGGTCTAGAACCTCATCATCCTCCACATCATCTTCCATCCACTCCTCAACCCTGCCCTCCTTGCCGGTCTGCACACTGCAGAAAGCCACAGCAGTTTTCACCTATGTTTTTCCAGCATGTAAACTCTGCAAAGGACATATGGGAATTGTTTTAGAATTGTATCCAGGCAACCGTTTTCCCTATAAACTGACCTCTCAGTTTGACTTGTGAAGGTATTGCCCCCGAATTACAATATTGTTATATTGGTATTTGACGGTTCTATTTGACTGTCAGATATGAAGTGCAGCCTGCAAATGTACTATTTAGCACCCCAAAAAATTAGAATTGGTCAAACTGCGCTGTAACCACAGTATTTGATGGTTCTATTTGACTCTCAGATATGAAGTGCACCGCAGGACGCAAATGTACTATTTAGCATTAGCACCCAAAACAATTCAAATTTTTCAAAGTGTGTTGTAAGCACAGTGTTTGACGGTTCTATTTGACTGTCAGATATGAAGCGCAGGCCGCAAATGTACTATTTAGGACCTAAAACAATTAGAATTTTTAAAAGGTCGCTGTAAGCACAGTGTTTGACAGTTCTATTTGACTGTCAGATATGAAGTGCAGGCCGCAAATGTACTATTTAGCACCCAAAACAATTAGAATTTTTCAAAGTGCGCTGAAAGCACAGTACTACTATTTGACTCTCAGATATGAAGTGCACCGCAGGACGCAAATGTACTATTTAGCATTAGCACCCAAAACAGAATTTTTCAAAGTGCGCTGTAACCGCAGTATTTGATGCTTCTATTTGACTTTCAGATATGAAGAGAACGCCCCAAATTTACTATTTAGCAGATTATCACCAAGGAAATAAGAATGTTTACAATTGTGCTGTAACCGCAGTATTTGACGCTTCTTTTTGACTCTCAGATATAAGGTGCAGGGCCCAAATTTACTATTTAGCAGATTAGCACCCAGAAAATATGAATGTTTACAATTGTGCTGTAACCGCAGTATTTGACGCTTCTATTTGACTCTCAGATATGAAGAGCACGCCCCAAATGTACTTCTTAGGAGCAAAAAATGGGAATTTGACGCTTCTATTTGACTCTCAGATATGAAGAGCATGCCCCAAATTTACTATTTAGCAGATTAGCACCCAGAAAATAAAAATGTTTACAATTGCGTTGTAACCACAGTATTTGACTCTCAGATATGAAGTGCAGGGCCCAAAATGTACTATTTAGCAGATTATCACCAAGAAAATAAGAATGTTTACAATTGCGCTGTAACCGCAGTGTTTGACCCTTCTATTTGACTCTCAGATATGAAGAGCATGCCCAAAACGTACTTCTTAGGAGCAAAAAAATGGCAATTTGTCAAAGTGCGCTGTAACCGCAGTATTTGACACTTCTATTTGACACTTCTATTTGACTCTCAGATATGAAGAGCACGCCCCAAATGTACTTCTTAGGAGCAAAAAAATGGGAATTTGTCAATGTGTGCTGTAACTGTAGTATTTGACTCTTCTATTTGACTCTCAGATATGAAGAGCACATCCCTAATTTACTATTTAGCAGATTAGCACCCCTAAAATAAGAATTGTTTGCAATTGCACTGTAACCGCAGTATTTGACGCTTCTGTTTGACTCTCAGATATGAAGAGCACGCCCCTAATTTACTATTTAGCAGTTTAGCACCAAAACAATAAGAATTTTTTCAACTGCGCTGTAACCACAGTATTTGACGCTTCTATTTGACTCTCAGATATGAAGTGCACCCCACTAATGTATTTTTTAGCACCCAAAAAATGTAAAGTTTTAAAACTGCAATGTGACAGCAGTATTTGACGCTTTTATTTGACTCTCAGATATGAAGAGCACGCCCCAAATTTACTATTTAGCACCCCCAAAAATTGACTTCTTAAAACTCCGATGTAACCACAGTATTTGACGCTTCTATTTAACTGACTTTTTAAAACTCCGATGTAAGCACAGTATTTGACGCTTCTATTTGACTCTCAGATAGTGCACCCACTAATTTACTAATTTGCAGAATTCTTTCCTAAGCTGTCCCTGAAAGCGGCAGCATCCTCTCCCTGAACTAATAAGAGCTCATGTCCGTGCAGCGCTACGCGACTCCAGATTATATATAGAGGCTGGGTCACATGCTGCACTGGCCAATCACAGCCATGCCATTAGTAGGCATGGCTGTGATGGCTTCTAAGGGCACACGAGTCAAACGCTTGTTGATTGGCTGCCCTGCAGCCTTTCAAAATGCACCATTAAATCGCCGAACACCGAACTCCAACCCGAACTTACAGTGAAATGTCCGTGTTCGGGTCCGGGGTCCAAAAACCCTAATGTTCGCTACAAACCCGAACTTTTCAGTTCGGGTGTGCTCAACTCTAGAGAGTAGGAAATAAAATGAAAGAACTAATAAACAAAGAAGCCCAATGGATGTACTATTTAAGAACTTTGTAAGCTGGTTTAAATTAGGATATTGATCTGGTGGGTCTTATCTAGTTTTTTTTTATTATTAGTGTATTGTACCATAACTTTCATTATGGTGTGTTTTGGGGAGTGCCCTCCTGTTATCTGTTTCTTCTTTTATCTCTTGTTTTGGCCTCCATTTAGTTGGTATCACATATTGCCTATTTTCCATTATTTTAATTATTTTCTGTTTTTTTTACGCATAGACATACAATTTTTTTAAACTATTTTTCCCCCAATGTATTCCCATATGGTAAAATATTTTATAAATAAATATATATTTATTTTTTCCCCAACCATTTCCATCACATTTCTTATTCATGTCTTATTTACATGTATTTTTTTGTATTATTATTATTTTTATTAGTATTTTATTTTTATTTTTTTCATTTTTATATTTATTCAATTTCAATTTTATTTGTATTTTTCATTTTTTATTTTTATATTTATTTTTATTCTCATTTTCATTATTTTTTATTTTTCAATAATTTTGTATCTATTTTTTTTTTCATTTTTATTTGATCTTATTTTTGTTTAACTTCATCTTCATTTATTTTCATATAAGTTTTTCTTTGTCATTATATATTTTTCCAATAAGAACATATTTTTTAAGGATGGTAATTTGCTATGCTGTAATAATTGTATTTTTGTGCTTGTATTGACAGACATCATATCTTTACACATTACTGTGGATATTCCTCATTTTAGATAGTAAATGTATTTGTATTATTTGTTTGCCATAGACTCTATTCAGTACTATACTTGCTTTGTGTGTAGGGACTGTTATACTGCTCTAGTTATCTAATGGCCTGAACAGGAAGTTTCAGCTAGTGTTCCACGGAGAAGCGCACACTGCGACTTGATGTTGGACATCAACATTGCGGTCCACAGTGGAATGCACGCAACGGATTGAGATCACTTGGGAATCTACAGCGCACCTCTATTTAAACTGAGACAAGCACTGAGCAACATATATCCCTGAGGAAGTCCATTGGGACAAAATGTGTTGGATAAGCTGCTTTATTTCAAACTTTTTATTCATTTTACACATTGTATTTTCCTCTTGTATTTCCTGTTTGGTTGTCCTGCGATCTGCACTTCATCTTCAAGGGATCGGAAGATTTCCTACTAGTCCACTTTGCAAGTGGAGAGAAGTTTGCTGTTTTTCTTTGTGTGTAAGTGCAACCTTAAATAAAATTTATATATTTTTATACATATTGCACTATTTGTTCCTCTTTTTATATCCTTTGAGGAGCAGTTCTGGAAGACATCAGCCCTCCAGATATACCCCTGAGGGGAGACAAGCCCATTTTATTCAGTTCTCTTGTAAGTTCTCTACCTTCTGGGTTCTCTGGTGACACTATAACATACTTTACCATATTGGATCTCTTTGTTTTTTAGATTCTATATTGTATCCATTTCCATCCTGATTTTCAGGTTGTATTTTTCAATTAACATCCTCTATGTGTATGTGATAACCCCTCCATATATCCCTTTGGGGTATATACCCTTGTGTTTGAAGTTTTGACAGAGACTTACAATGAGGCTGATGTCTGTAATGGCTAGTTTTTTACCTGCAGTATGGTTGATAGGGTTAAGTGCCAGACAGTCATACTGCCTAGATCAGTGTGTTGAATGGGAATTCAATACCTGAACTATAGTATTAGTGGTAAATTGATCATTTCCATTCAACACAAATTTTACTACATGACAGGAACTTTCATATTTTGCTTAACTTGCTTTACTGCATCTCCAGAGAAAATATTACCATAGAAACAAGAGATTCATGAATCATAGAAAACCTAAACCGTAATATAGATCATATCTTCTCCAGACCCCTCCTCTTTATTTGCTGCTTCTGCCATGTTTAGGTCTTCCATAG